ATATATATATATATATATATATATATATATTCAATACATAATTACTTCTAAAGTTATTTCTTTTTACAAAAAATAAATGTAATACAAAATGTCTCGACTCTGCTGATCATAATAATTCTTCTCACAACATCATGCAAAATAAACAAAAAAATATAGAGCAATCCCTTTAGTATAACAGGCCCTTAGGAGAAAATTATGATCAAGGTTGATTGTTGTTGGGTTTGTAATGATGCTATCCTTTCGGGGTCCATTCTGGAAATTGAAAGAAAAATAATAGAAAATCAGGCCTTAGTGTGTGCAAATGGGGTTTAACAAAAAGTTTAGGCCCATACGTCAAAAGATACTTTAAAGCCTGAAGTGCCTCTTCGTTGTGGATCCAAAAAAATAACTTCTATTTTAAGGAAAAAGGTTTTGCAAACTGAACAACTTGAATTTATTAGCAAGTCCTCCAAATTCTGGATAAATCACTTTTTGGTTTCTAAAATTATTAAGCATTGTCATATGGCATGAGTTTAGCAAGGTGATTAACTTAGTTGATTCAGAAGAATGCGTGAACATTATAAACTTTAAGTACAAGTTAAATTCCGATTGATAAAAAAAATGGCATGAGTCCCAAAAAAAAAATCTCAAATAAATTCATGAAATCTTTATTCATCTATATTCCCAAACTTAATCATTTATTGTCATTATGGTCTTTCAACATATATCAATACTATTACTTAAATCACATGTTGCAATGTTGCATGTAACGTTTGGACTAATATGATTGTCACATTGTAGTTTCATGATTTTTTTTTCTTCTAATTTTAAGGATTAGGACGATAATGTCTAATACTTTCAAGGGTGAAATAGATTATTTATCCTTAGAATTTTCCAACATTTGATCACTTGATAAATGGAGGATATATGCATTAAAATTAGTGATCACTCATATCCAAGTTGTCCAATATTGTGTATATTATTTTGCAAAGTACATTGGTTGCTAGGGGCCTAAACAGATATAGTTTCCTCAATTTTTATCAAATTTAAGACTCAATCTAATTTATCGGCTTTACATTTTTTTCAAGTGGCCAAACCCAACTTGACCCTAATCAAGTTGGCAATCTGATTTATTAATTAAAATATTAATATATTCTAAAACTTAAAAAAGTAAAAAAGCAAAAAATGAAATACATAATTTTTCAAGTTATAATATGTCTCAAACAACACTATAATTGACAAATGACACGATACATGTTGCCAAAGATCCAAACAACACTAACAAGAAAAATACAATAGTAACCCTAACTATACTAAAAATTATTTAAATTACATAATAAAAATGAACAAACTAAAATTAAGGGTTTCAATTGAACTTCTTAATAATAAAGGAATCCAATTAAACCAATTAAGTAAAAAGTAGATGAGTTATTAAACCTGGATTTTATTGAAAACCATGGGATACAGAATTATTAAATAAGAAATAAGACCTACAAAATTTATAATTTTTAATAAATTTTAAACAATGAAAGAAATTGTTTCTAAAAGAGTGTATCCCTAGTATTTTTCACCGATTAAAATTTATTGAAACTACAAAGGTGGAAATGAGACTCATTAAAAAACAAGACTATAAAAAAAATATATAATTTTCAATAAATTTCGATTAATAATATAAAATATGTTCAACAGAATATGTTATGATGCGAGTAAACAAGTGTACTCTATTTTTAAGGTCTTTCTTCCAGTTTTTTTTTTCTTCTTCTAATTTTAACCTTTATTTTTAAGAGAAGAACTAAAAAAACATTCTCTCTCTCTCTATATATATATATATATAGATACACAAAGATATTACTCACAGCAAAATTTATTTCATCATTTTAAAAACAAAAAAAACAAAAAAAAAGCCTCCTGAAACATTACTAAAAAGGATATTGCATTAAATTTTATTTTATCAATTCTATCAAATAAGATCGAGACTATGCTATCTAACTTTTTATCGATAGTTTTCATGAACAAATGTAAAAAATAAATACAAAAATATTCTAATGTACAATAAAAATAAAAATAAAAAATCCTTCGACGGTTTTGGTCATTTTTTTTTTTTTTTTTGGAAAAAAAGAACAACATAGAAAGCTGGCTAACATTCAAGCTTGCCAATAGGGGACAAAACTAATAGCAACAAGGATCCGTTTACAGATCTCTCGACTATTTCATAATCAAGTAGGATCTCTTCAATATCCTGACAGTGTAATAATCAAGGTTGAAGTCTCAGATTTGATGTAGCAACAAGGAAAGTAGGTGATGGAGCTGGAGTCTCACTTTGTCCACGTAAAACCATGAACCAAAAAAATCACTCCAATCTCTTAATCGATTTATTTGAGTCTAGTGACACTAACACCAGCTTTTCCTAATCATTTCTAAAAGTTTTGGTCTTCACTAGATTATTCATGCAAACTCCATTAACAGTCATCCAATAACTAACAATGAGGCCATATAGAAGCTTGGGTTCGATCAAAAAAAAAGTTGATGAAATGGAGGTGATTTTCATCCTACTATTCATAAAATCAAATACAGAACAAGGTTCTTAAGCATTGCATGCTAGATACAAAGAGCCAAAGACAAAGATGCTGAGAACAAGACAGCAGGCAGCAGCAACGCCGGCCAATTCTTTGCATCGTTAGTCAAACTGATGTTTTCTATGCATCTACTATGTTTCTATCAATCTTTAAAACTTAACACCGCACGCCCCAACCCTACCAGAAGCAAAACAACCACACTGAATCGGAATGGAGCGAAGGTCCACCAGAGAAAGCAAAGGCTCCCTAAGCCTACAGAAAAAGATGGCCGAGACACGGCGCAAGGAAAAACCCGCGCCGGACCTCACCGATTTCATGAACGACATGTTTTTCGGGGCAGCAGACATGGAACACAGAGCCTACAACCTCACCGGCGGCGGAGGCGCCGCGGTGGACGACGACGACGACGACGAAGGGTTCGACGACAGCACGAGAAGCAACAGCGCAAGGTTGACGCAAGAGTGGTTACAAGAGGCGCGACGAATCGTCGCTTCCTCTCCCTTACGCTGCGACTCCCCCGGTCGCCGCGTAGGGTCCCCGAGGTTCGCCGCCGCACAACCAGGCTCACCCCAACCCTCCTCCGACCGAAGAGACTCTCTCTCTAGAACTAGGTCTGCCCGAAGGTAAATAATATTAATTAAACTATGATTTCATTTTCAGATATATATATATATATGTTTATATACTAATGATGAATAATGAAGCAGATACAGAGCAGGGGAAGGGATTAGTGATGAGATACTATCGAAAACAGCGAAACATACCCGTAACAAGTCCGAGTCTGATACATTTGTTAATCCTTCATCTGATGGGGATGGATCCCCTGCAGCGGCGGTGCACAACTGGTTCACTAAAATTCTCAATCCCAACACGCCAGTCACGCCACCAGCTCCTTCTCCTGAGTCTGATTCTACTCTTTTATCTTCTCTCCCGCCACGTCAGCCTCATCCTCGAAAGTCGCGCTTCCAGACCGACCCGCAGGGGATCCCACCTCCTAATTCCAGGCGAACCTTCAAGAGTTCCGCGGCGGAGAATCCGACGGAGGGTTGCGGCGGCCCTCTGTCGCCGCCCAGGAACCTGGTGGAGTCGGCTCAGCGGAGGACGTTGTTGTCTTCGACGTGCTCGCGGGAGCGGATTGCGCCGAGGCATGTGGTTGCGAAGGGAGAGGAAGTGTGCCTGAACGGGTTCCTCAAAGAGCAGAGGGCTTTGTTGCAGAAAATATCGAGCGGGGAGCTCCGTGCGAAGGCGCAATTGGTGCTTTCTGGGCCTTCTAACAGTTAGTGACGACGAGAATGAGGGTTTTTGTGTTGTTGTGATGTGTTGGAGAGTGATTGAGTTTGTGTGGTGGTGCAGGCACGGCGTCGATGGTGGCTGCCATTTGCCACGCGTGGCTCTTGGGTTATAGGCAGAGAGAGAAGGAGGGTGGAAGCGTGGTGGTGCCTGTCATGAATGTCAAGCGAGCCTCCATGTGGAAGCTGATGCAGGCTGCGTGGCTCTTTCACCATTCTGGTCTTGATTCCACTGCATTGCTTTTCACTGATGAGGTGCTTTTTCTCAATAGACAAGATTTTCGGACCTAAAAAGCTGCTATAAAAGTGTGGCATTCTTGATAAACCGTTATACTTTTATTTTTTAAAAATAAAAAATAAAACGTTTTTTTTGGGCACTGGACTAAAATATACAAACATCTATAGGACCAACCAAGTAGTTTAACTAAAAATCAAAAACATTTAAATATTCTTTTGGTTTAGTAATTATAATATTTTATTTTAGTTTTTCTACATATCATCTTTTATTTCATTTTAATTTAAATGATTTTATAAATTTTATCTTTTAATTTTTTGTAATAAATAATCAACACGGATTATAAGAAAACAAAAATAGTGTGTATATAGAAACTAATTAAAATAAAATAATTTTAATTATAAAAACTAAAAAAAGTAAAGTTTATAATTTATAAAATTTTAAGAACTAAATGAGTATTTAAATGATAAATGATACGGAAATGTCAAGGTTCTTTTCGCATAGACAAGACTTTGACAATGCGTGATGAATTACTACATGTTCTATAGTTTTTAGCTGTTCACTTTCAGGTACATGTACAATTTATGTGCCCCCACAAGATGTAACTACAGGTCTCCTGTTTTTGTTTATTTGTTATCTGATATGTGATTTGATCATTGTTTGGATTAGACGACACTGAAATTATCTCTCTGGTGATCACTTATAATAAAGATGTTTGGAGGATATTGTATGAATGGGCTCAGGCTGGATGGGTTTTGCTTAGTTTGTTGATCTGACACTGAATTTGTTTGCAGGTGGACATGGAAAGACTTTTGATGACCGGCCAACTGAGTGTCCTCGTGGTTGGACAAGATGTCTTCTGCACTACTGGCGAGGTTGGATCATATCAATTATTGATGAATCTGAAAATTATTTTTAATAAAATAAGCCAATGTGTCTGGTTAAATTTAGAATTACAATTTTTGTTCTTCCAGGTTGGATCCCAATGCACAGTTATTACCGATAATTACTGTGAGGATGCCTATGATTTACTTCAAAACCCTGTGCTGAAGAAACTACTGGTAAATTTATGTGACCTTAATTTTTAAACAAACTTTTGGTGCTATAAATTTTTCCTCCATATCAAAAGATGCTTCTGAAATTTTTTGAAGACTGGTCTTATGCGACTTTGGTATTTATTATGTTGCAGCTTGCTGGTATTCTGTTAGACACACAGAATCTAAAATCATCTGCGGCAATATCGATGACAAGAGATGCAGAGGCAGTCCAGTTGTTATTGGTTGGCTCAGCCCCAAATTACAGATATGCTTTATTTGATCAATGTGAGTTCATATTTTCTCCATATAAAAATTGAGTTATTATGAGCTTATTGATTATTAAGTTCAATGAATGAGACATTGGTTTTGGTTCCTTGAAGTGATGCAAGACCAGAAAACTGCTTCTTTTGTCGAAGCTTTGAACCATAACTATGGGAAATCTCCTGATGAAAGTAAGTATCTATTCTGACCTTTACAAACATTTTATTGGCGCTGTTTTTTTAAAATTCCAAAATGCATGAACCATGACCTTAGTCTTCTGGCCGTCATCACGTTCCTTTGAATCTTTCCTTATAACCTTATTAATGAAATTACAAAATTCAAGGATCTATCAAACTTCTTTGTGACCTTAAATCTTCAGTGGTAAGTGCAATGGACTATGCTCTATTATTCTTTATTCTTTTTGGTACTAGGAGTATACTCCTTTGATTGGTAATATCTTGACAAGTCGTTGGATAAAGACTAACTGGTATTTTGCCAGGCAAAATGAATTAAGAATGTGGCAATTTCTTTTCAAATTTCAACAATGTAAATCCACTCTCAATACAGAATAGTTTTCCTGATGTATACTAGGATTAAACGGGATTTTTTCTACCATAGGATTTTATATGGAATGTTTTACAAGGAGGCTGGGTTGTCCAATTTTTTAAAATGTTTATGCCAATTAAGTAATACTATTCCATCTCCTACTTTTCAGTTACAAAAGGACTAATTTGAACAAACTAATTATTATCGTGGATATGTTACCTTAATTGTTTTGTAAATAGAACTACAACATACTATAATGCATGACAGACTTGGTAAAGTAATTACCTGTTAAGATAATAGCAATTAGCAGTCGTGTTCTTTGTTGTGAACATTATACTGTAATAGGTTTCTTGACATCGTGCATTTAGGATATCTACATTGTACCGATATTTTACCATTTTCTCTTAACAGTATGAGTATTTCTTTTTATTGCTGGTAATTATAGGTGACCAAAACATTGAAGGAAATAAGGAGTATAAAGTTCGCGAGAGAAAGTCAAGTTCTACATCTGACCGTGAACCCACCATGTCTAGTTCAAAAACAAATTCCTTCGACACAAGAAGTTCTAAAGCTAGCAAGGTTTCACCAAATCCAGGTTGCGTTTCATTCTCTTTCCTTATATTCCTTTTATTCCCATTATGGCTTTTTAGTTATGTTAACATATTTTGAACTCGTGATTTGATAATAAAGTTCCGTTAGTTAATAAACAAATATTCTCTGTAATTTACCTTGTTCCATTTATGAATGTGATATTTGAGTGATGACATCAACTAATCCTTGCAGTCAAACTTGTAACGCCACCTTTGCTATCTCCTACCCCAGCACCAGCACCACAACAGGCAGAAAAGGACGCCTCTCGTGGGAAAAACAAGTTCTTCTTGGCAAGGTGGTTTGGTTTTGGTTCAAAATGAATAGATTTCCTCCATGTATGCCATTGGCAACTTAATTTTTGCAAAATTCAAAACAAAATAATCAGGTCAGAAGCCCCTAAGAGATTTTTCCTTTTTATTTCATTGATGTAAGAAAATCTCTAATAGTGTACCTAAAGGTGAAGGTTCCTAACTCATTTTTAATGGGTTCTATCATTTTTTTTAACAATTTTCTATTGTAAGTATTCAATCATAAAACAATTTCAAGTAAGTCTCATGTATTATTTCACAAAATATTGTTTTAATCGTAAAAAACTAGTTGCTTTAGAAAAAATCATAAAAACCAGTTTTAATAGCCGAAAGGCATATTTACCTCCATAAATGGAGTTTCTAAATAAGAACTTGAGAATCTCATAAGAAATGTGATGGGATATACTTAAGTTTAATTGAAACGATCTTGTCACTTTGCTAGTTAAACTATTACCTTTGTGCTAAGCAATAACATATGGGCCTACCTATTATTTATCTTCGTTAAATCAGCCCTGGTCCTCTGGCCGCATACTTTTGAATCTTTCAGTGTGACCTCGTTATCATTGTTTTTGACGTTGACGTGAATTAATAATCTCATTTCCTTGGTCAAAAAAATTTCAACTGCTTCCACAAAAAGACGAATTTTGTAGTTCACTTGCTCATTTCTTTTGACCCCCGTGGAACAAATCTACTATTACTAACTATCTCGCAACAAATGCTGCTGTCATTTTAAAATGCAGTTTTTGCCACATGCCTACATGTATCGTTTTGTATATTTTTTTTTTTTAAAAAAAAACTTATTACACTGCACGTAGCATTTGATTAAATTAAATAATAGTTTTTCTACAGGCTTCTACTAAGTAAAGTAATAATATCCCTTCTCATGGGTGTATAAGCCCAGCTGGGTACAAGAACTGAAATGAATATAAAAATACTGCCCTTGGACAAAAAACAGAACCAAATACTTAGGCCTTAACTAATGTCCATCTATTCTATGGCTCGTTATTCATTTTCATCAATGCTTCACCTACCTGGCTATTTGTATAATAATTTTTAAACAGAATTTCTGAATCAAAAAGGAATAGATTAATGGACTTAGGCAGCTAAACAATAATGAAGATGATGACACTGATAATCCAACTACTAGAAAGAGAACCATGTGTATTAATATGTGTGAGGTGCACATACATGGATTATTGCACTCTTGTTTCTACATCATCACCAAACACCCACCCTCTCTTTCCGGGGTACCATTTTCCGCCACATGCATGAACATAATTTATGGGCAAATACAAACATTCAGTGTAGAAATCTTCTGTCGATATATATATTTTTTGTGTGATACAAAATTTAGGTAACATATACCCTTGGTTGATAGATTTTGGAAGATACATATTATGCAGCTCTCTTACCAAGATCGGATCAAGAAAGAGCATTTTCCAATGTGGTAAAATGTAGATGCCTCTAGATGGAGAATTATTGGGCATGTGTGTGATCGTGATACAATCTGTCTTGTCCACAATTATGCGCATTTGCTCAACCCCAGCTGTAACTAACTCCCAAGCCACTGTTTGGCCCCACTATGCCTTTCTCTTTCTCAATCCAATTCCCTTTCTCTCTCTCTCTCAACCCAATCTCAATCTGCATCCTCACCATTCCATAACTTGGAGACCCTAGTCCATTTTCAACCTTATTTTTCCGGCGTTGATGATGATATACTATTAAGTTAACATGGTCCCTTCACTCAACCTTCCAAGCATAGAGAAACAAGCAAAACTCTGATGTCCCACTAACACTAAAACCCTCCACTGATCCAGAACCCCTTGACTGATCACTAGATAGTGGAGGTGATGAGGATGATAACGAAGGTGACGTTGAAGATGACATAGAAGAAGTAGTAGTGGTACTAGACGATGACAAAATTGGCTTAAAAATGAATAAAGCATGCTTTAAACCAGGACTAAAAAGCCAATCATGAACATCCCAGTATACCTCTACTCTCATCTTGCTGAGATGAATCGACTCGTTGCCTCTAAACTTCCACTGCAAGTGCTTGACATGAATCACCAAGTGCCCATCGATCCTTATCTCCATCTCTGGCTGAACCCCACTTGGAGAATCGCCACTTCCCTTGTTCTTGCACTCGATTGAAATCTCATGCCACCTACCCTTCTCGTGGAACTTGGCTCTAGTGGAGAACTTCTTCTTCCCAAAAATGTGCTCTTTCTTCGAAACCAAAATGGGGTCAATAAGTGCTGGTCTACACCCCGTCCTTCTGTACGCCTCTTTCTTGAGATCACCAAGAAGCAGCACAACCTCGTCATCACAAACCACTGCCACGTAGTACTCCGAGGTTGGTTCCGTTTCGCCGTTAAACTTGGCAGCCTTAAGGTCCCAGAAAACATCAACAGCTTTACCATCTACCACAAAGCGCTTGGAACCTTGTTTCCTCCAAAAGTACCACGGCTTCAGCTCAACCTTGCATGTGTACTGTTCCTCTCCTTCTGGGCCTTCCACTGACACCGAAAGCCCGTGAAGCAAGAGGTTCTTGCACCATGTGATGGTGATCAAACGGCACTGATCAGCCACCTTTGTTCTATACACAGACATATAGACGCTCTGACCTGAACGAGTCACAGCCCCGTGATCTTCGCTATGCTGCTTTTCTGCTGAAGAAAAGCAAGCAGGGACCCCAATTGAGTCTTGCATCATTGTTTTGTTGGTGATCAAGTTTTGAGTGTGCAGTGTGCACAATCTGATAGAGGAAAATGGAATGGAGGGATAGTTAATTTAATACGATGAAAAGAGTGAGAGATCTTAGTCACAAGGTGGATTTAATGAATGCTAGATGCTGCCAGAGGTGTTCTTGGCAGCATTAATTGGATTTAGAAAGAATATTTCCAAACTGGCATATGGACTGGCTGTGAGTGAGAGTGAGTGAAGAACAACCCTTTTTATATTCTCACTTACTTGTCACCTCCTTTATTATTATTATTATTTTTATTCTGGTTAGTGTTTACCTTTTTAAGTTCAAAGTTGAGGCTACACGAACTTTTTCGAATCCAAAGTTGTTAAAATTTTACTATATTCAAAAGTGCTTACTCCCAGACATAGTTAGATGCAGAGGACCCAGCTATTTTTCATCATCAGATTTGGTGTATAGATTTTTACGAACTTAGGAGGAGTCATCTATTCATAAAACCACATGACATGGGACTATCATAAGGTCAAAAATAAACCGGTCAAAAGAACAACTGTAGCTGTGACTTGTGAGGGTTAGCTTTCCAATGTAAGGAAAGAGTCATCATATTTCTTCCTTGTTTGAAAGGATCTTCTATTGGTATTACTCTTGCATGTGACGTTTTAATTAAGTTTGCAATATTTCTTTACTATATTACTATTAATACCCTCTTAACTTAAGCGTGAAATATTTTTCATTAAAACAAGGATCTTTTCAAAGCCCTTGTCAGTTTTGAAACCCTTTTCTATTACAAGCCTTGTGTTTTTATCTGAACTTTTTACTTGAATGAAGGGTGGGAGAGGGAATCTAATTAAGAACTGCAGGTAGCTGCAGAAAAAGTCTGAGGAATCTACATTGAAGTTGCAGATCTGGTCTTATAGCTAGACTACAACATTTTTGCTTCGTGACAAAGAGGCTTTGGTGGTTTTCTAGTCAGCAACCAACCCTTAAATTTTGCAGAGTGAATTTGTGAGATTAATGCAGCAGCGGTAAAAGTGAAATAGCCAATAAGAGCTTCATTTCTAGTAATTGCATTTTACCTTTGTAGTGGTTTTAACCTTTTATGTAATTTGGCAACCTGAACTGTCCACATGCAATTGGATAAGGTCCCAACGCTTTTATTTTATTATTTTATTTTTCGAGGGTCCAAAACTTTCCAACTGCTTCAGACCTAACAGCTTACACTCGATACTCGCCCAAAAAGAAAAAGATGGCTAGTTCCCCTCAAAAGAAAAAGATAGCTAGCCACACATAATAAGTAATCAGCATCTAATCTTAAATTTACATTATTGTGCAGTATAAGTTTGGTTAAATAACATTGCTCAAAAGAAAAGCACAAATAAAAATTAAGTTTTGAATGCTGTGTTGTGAGCTTCAGTATTGAAGGCAGGTCATTGATGGTAAACATTTTGTCATGCGAATGGAAACACCACTTGTATTAAAACTGGACCGGTAAATCGGTTAAGAATAATTAATTAAGCCAAAGTTAAATAGGTATTAATAAAATTAATTAATACAAATAAATAATGTTATAAATAAGTTCAATAGTGATGCATTGTGCGTAAAATTATCCTATATAGTATTCTATTATTGACTTTTACACTTACCATGAATAACCATTAAACCCATTAAAGAAACATACTATCAGTATTATTGAAAACTGAAAAGAAAACAATGAAATGCATTTATTTCACCGAATTTTGAATAGTTTTACCGAGTTTTACAGGTTTCGCGATATTCTTCCCTCTTTCACAATTCGGCTTTTCAGTTTAATTGATCAGGATATGTAACCGGTTTATCGGTTTTCTTATTCAACCGATCGGTCTAATCCAAATTTCAAAACATAGGGAAATATGTCCCTCTCTGTTGCATTTATTTTTTAAGGAATTGTATTTAAACTTTTTTTTTATAGGGTATACATATAAAAATTTTACACGTATCACATATTCTTAATTTGTTTTCTATCAAAAAAAATTATTAATCAATTCTTATACTTATTAAATGTTACTTTTATCTCTAATACTCTTAACTCCATCATACATTGTTAATTCAATTTATATATATATATATATA